GTGAAAGAACTTAACTAATATATAGAGAAAAATGATATGAAATCATGTACTGATGGTGTATAATTATATGTATTATAAACGAATTAGATTACAAATCGATATCATAATATTACATTCGTGCCAAATGATTGGTCAATGATAATAAAGGGTGCTAAATCAACCTCGCAAATTTTATTATGAATCGATACATTATTAATTACAATGTAACTTTTTAAATTTTAATGATAAAAAAACAAATCCTAACATTAATAATCATTAATCTAGTTTATTATTTGCTTTAATCAATTATATTACACAATATCTATACTATATAGAACTCTTTACTTTTATTTTTTTGAATTAAAAGATACTAAATACATTCAAACCTATATTTTTATAGTTGTTTCCATTACCATTATATCAGTCAACATATTTCTGTCATTTTCAGTGACTTGACTAAAAACAAAGTGGTTAAATATTGTTTTCTTGCACCGTTAATGATGGGGTCGGACAAAAAGACTTGGGCTTTTGCATTTATGCAAAAGACTTGGACCGTGAAACAAAGTGGTTAAATATTATTTTATTGCACTATTAATGACGGGGTCGAACAAAAATATTTGATTTGATTTAATTAATAAATAAATATAATAGTGATGACTATAATAAAATGATTTCTCATATTATGTTATTAATCAAATTAATTGTTTGAACATCATTTTTCATGCAGGAAAAATGTCTCAACTATGCTCATCATTTTTCGTCATCTCCTTACCCTTCAAAGTTATTTCACAATATATCAATGCCGAACGAAATGTTCTTCTTCCCACTCAAATAACAGCTCGGCAATCCGCCCTCCATTTCACACTGGAACTCAACGTTTCGCCGTGCAGATGGCCGGAGATCAACTGCACTGACAATTCCGTTACCGAAGTTTATCTTTCGGAAAAAACATCACGGTGAGTGTTCCTCCAACTATATATGACCTTAAAAACCTCACTTACCTTGACCTTTTCTACAATTCTATTCCTGGAGAGTTCCCAATACTATACAATTGTTCAACACTTCAAATCTTATACATTTCCCAGAACTATTTTGTCGGTCCGATCCCCGACGAAATTGACCAATTGTCGACTCTGGTTTACTTGGATATTAGTGCCAACAACTTTTCTGGTAATATTCCACCAAGTATTGGAAGATTACCGATGTTGAAGTCGGAAACCTGTTCAATGGGGCATTTCCTAAGGAAATTGGTAACCTATCCAATCTTGAGGTTCTGGCAGTGGCTTATAACGAGTTTTTTCCCATGAAAACACCTCAAGAACTTGGTCAGATAAGCAAGTTGCGGTACTTATGGATGACGAAAACCAATTTGATCGGTGAAATCCCTAAAAGTTTCAACAAAGTTTCAACAATTTGACAGGCTCCATTCCCAGCAGGCTGTTATCCTTGAAGAATTTAACTTATGTTTCTCTCTTCCAGAACATGTTGTCTGGTAAGATTCCCGAAACCGTCGGCGCGTCTAATTTGATTCAAATCGATCTTTCAACAATAATTTGACAAGCTCCATTCCGAAAGACTTTGGAAAGTTACATCATTTGGAGTACCTGGATGTGGAAAACAAAATGTTACGCGGAACATTCCCTGTTTGATCGGAGAAATTGTCTGCATTGAAGTTTTAACAATGAGAAAAAATAGATTTTATGGTGAAATTAAACATTTCAGAAATACAATTCTTTTCCCAACTTCGGATGTCTTGGACGTTGCTTCTAACGAGTTTTCCGGTGAACTATCCATTGATTTCTTTCATGCCACTCAATTGAGATCGCTCAAGATCAGTGGAAATAAGTTGGAAGGGAAGCTGCCAAGATCATTAGCCAATTGCTCAAAACTCGAGGTTTTGGACATCGGAAACAATATGGTTCATGATACATTTCCGGTCTGATTGGTGAAGTTGCCGTCCTTGAAGGTTCTCATTCTACGAGCAAACATGTTTTCTGGTACAATTACAGAATTCAATACAGAAAGTAGTTTTCCAAAGCTGCGTATTTGGACATTTCTTCCAACAAATTTTCAGGTGAATTGTCCGTTCAATTTTTGCAAAGTTTGAAGGGATGATGCAGATGACTAATGAAGACAAAGCAAAGCTGAAGTACATCTGAGAGGGTTACTATCTAGACTCTGTTACAATTTTCAACAAAGGGATTGAAATGCTTTACGAGAGAGTCTTGACTATTCTTACTTGTCTTGATCTTTCCAACAACAATTTCCATGGGAGAATACCTGAAAAGAAATACAGATTCTCAGTTCATTCAAAGTGCTAAACTTTTCCCATAATAGCTTCTCTGGTAAAATCCCTTCAGCACTTGATAACCTAAAAGACCTCGAGTCTTTGGATCTCTCAGTGAACAAACTCTCAGGGAAGATTCCTCCACAACGTACAAGTCTAACTTTCCTGGAGACACTGGACTTGTCTTGAAGGGAACATACCACAAAGCAACCAATTCAATAAATTTTCAAATGACTCTTATCTTGGGAACCCCAAATTTTTCGGGCTACCATTGTCAAGGAAATGCAATGAAGTTGATCTTCCAATGCCAGCTCCTCCAGGGGAACACAAAGAAGATTCATGGTTAGATGCAATGTCTACTTGTCAAATTGCTTTGGTAGGCTACGGTAGTGGTTTGGTCTCTGGGATATGCATTGGATATACACTGCTGAATGAGTTGGGAAAGAAATGGGTTTTCAAGTTCAAAACCCATGGGAAACAAAATAGAAGAAGATCAAGGTGACTCATCAGAATTAGTGTTTCAGAATCATCAGGTAAGCATTTTCTTAAGAAACTAGAGTTCTTCTAATTTGAAAAGATAGTAGTTGTAAACTACTATACATATGTATATTCTTTTATTCTTGCAGGATGTACTTGGAGCAGGACATGGAATGAAAATTTAGGAGGTACTTAAAACAGGCCAAGCTGAAGCAGAGATTGGCAACTTGAAGAAAATGGTAAAATTTTCTAACAAATATGAGCCCTATGGATTTGCCAGAGTATGTACCTGTTCATTCATTTTAGCATCTAGGTCCCTATGGATTTTGTTGTTGATCATTCAGTACAACTTAATGTGACAAGATCTGATAACTATTTCAATAAATGGCGGATTTGTCCGCTGTCGGAAACATGCTAGTTATTCCTACTAGTTCTGGAATTATATACATATACATATGCATGTACATGCATACAAGTTCAGGGTAGTTTGTTCAAATGAAAGAAACTTTGGCACCTAGTCTGTCTCTCAATACATTTGAAAGAAACTTACATATACATATACCTCAGACTTGTCGTCTTTAACAATGACAGAATACTATTTCTTTATGGTGTGGTTCATACATCAATGATAAATGCATTAGGAATTGGTGGAACTGAAGCAGAGGCAGCAATGGTAGGCCAGGTATTCTCAACCCCTTTTTCCTTATTTTCATGAATCTCTATGTAGTTGAAAAGCTTATCCAATGCTTTTATTTGCAGATTATGCAGCCCCTAAGCATGTTATTGCCTGGTGTTGTTCATGAAATTGCGAGATGGTGTAAGAGCAACCCGTCTGGATTTGATTTTGACAAAGATGTTAAGAAGGCATGACGTTGGCATATTTGTCGAGTTTTATGGTTAGGTATATGACCACAAATCTTGACAGAGGTAAATGGCCTTTGTCCCCCTAAAGCTTCAAATCGTTCCGTGTAAGTTGGTGGCATTTGAAATAGAAAAGCACCGAAAGTATGATACAAATTTTGTAGCTGCAGGTGGTGGCTCACTCTGTTCGCATCACCAAAAGGCTCTTTGGATGGAGAAATGAAAGAGGTGACAAAGGGCCCTTGGCTGTTCGTGATGATGCTGTTACATTACATATACTCGTTCCTGTCTGATTCGTGTAAATCCTTTCCATAACTTAATTCCTATGCAATAGGATAAAATTTGGTCATTAATAGATATATAAGCAACACATGCACACTCTTATCTACAAAGCATTCCTCTGTTAAAAAGAACTTTTTAACATGAAATTATTATTATTGTTGGCCATCTACAACAAAATTTAAAACTTAATAATAAAAAATTTGATTAATAAAATTCCCCACAAAATTAACAACCCTAATAAGATTTTTTTATTTTATTAATATAGTTAGTTAAGATCCATATTTCGCTCAACTTTAGGTCAGCTTTGACATATTTTAAATACATTTCATGATTGATTTGAGTTGGCATTTAATGCCCACATTAGTGGTTTTGCTAACTAAAGGGCCTAATTGATACAATATTAATATTTTAAGGATTCAATTAAAATATTTTAAAATTTCAATAAATTAACTCAATTTAAAAACAAAAAAAATGCTAATAAAAACTTTGGGAACGAAGAGATTAAAGAATTTTCTGGGTAAATTCCAGAAAAGTTAAGCAAAAATATATAATTAAGCTGGTCATCATCAAGAAGTTTTGTCATCAAATAGATGATTTTGTGCTTTCTTTCTTGTATTTGATGGGGGGGGGGAATGGTACTTTCTGTTACATATTCTAGCTTGATTCATTTTCAAATTACATCCAATTGTGTAATCAAAATATTTTTTATTTGCACCTATTTCGAATAGCTGTCACCAGCAGCTACACCTATTGTCTATACAGATCATAAACTTTTCTTTGAATTATATGTTGGTAGATTGACCAAATAATATATTAAAGAAATGACAAGTTATAACCCTGTCCCTTTGTCTGGAACACTATCTTGGGGTTATTGCCGTGTTGGTCTGAAAATTGTAATATCATCAAAATTTCCACTCCTTGTGTCCAATCTATCACAGACACAGACAGCTAAAAGAATTGCTATATTTTTAATGACTTGGCTTAAACATAGGAATTATTCTCATGCAGTAAAGATTGGGAAAGAAGACTTTGACATTTCCATGCAATGCCAAAGACTATGGCATAAATATGTTGTATTTGAATCAATCTTCCTTCACAGCCATAGCCACCAGACATGAAGACTCTTCCTTTCCTAGTTTCACTCTTCTTTCTGTTTTCATGCTTCCTTTCTCTTGTGTTTTCCTTGGATGATCTCCTAGTGCAATGCCTTGATGACCAGAGATCTTCTCTGTTACAACTGCAGCGTGATCTTTACTATTCCCCAAATTTTACTCTCTCTTCCAAATTTGAGCTTTGGGATGTCAACACTGACTGTTGTTTGTGGGAGGGAGTTACCTGTGATGCTTTTGGTCATGTCATTGGGCTTGATCTTAGTTACAAGAACATTTCAGGAAGCTTTGACTCCATTTTCGATCTCCATCATCTTCAACACCTTAACCTTGCTGGAAACAACTTTAACACCACTCTGCTTTCCTATGGGTTTGATAAACTCCCAAATCTAACTCATCTCAACCTTTCAAGCTCATGTTTCCATGGCCAAATTCCAGTGAAGATCTCATTCTTAACAAGGTTAGTTTCTCTTGATCTCTCTAATCAAGATGATTGCTATCGGAGATATTATCACTTTCTCGACCCACACAATGGCATCTACGACTATGATCCATTGCCTTATGAACTTCAACGACCTCTTAAATTAGAAAATCCAGATTTCAAAACATTAATCAAGAATTTGAGGAATCTAACAGAGCTTAATTTGGATGGAGTGGACATTTCATTTCATAGTATTAAATGGTGCAAAACAACATCTTTAGTACTTTCCAAGCTTCAAGTGTTGAGCATGTCAAACTGTGGTTTAAAGGGTCCATTATGTTCTTCACTCTCCGAACTTGCTTTTCTTTCCAAACTTTTCCTTGGTGGGAACCCAATCTCTTCTTTACCTCCCAATTTCTTGGAAATATCCTCTCGCCTGGTTTCTCTTAGTTTAGCGAATTGCGGTTTGAGTGGGTATTTTCCAACAGAAATTCTACTATTGCCAAAAATCCAAAGCATTGACCTTTCAGCCAATTACGATCTTATGGGTGAGTTGCCAGAATTTCCATCAAACAGTGCTTTACGGAATTTGTCTCTTTCTGAAACATATTTCGGTGGGAAAGTACCTGAATCAATAGGTAACCTTAAGTTGTTGACAGATTTAACTCTTAGTCATTGTAATTTTTCGGGACCCATTCCATCATCAATTGCAAATCTTAGTCAACTGGTGAACCTGGATCTATCAGGTAACAATCTCAGTGGTTTAATCCCTCCATTTCATAGATTTGGAGTTCCAAATCTTGCATATCTCCATTTGGGTGGGAACAGGCTTTCTGGATCAATAAGTTCTTCTTTATTTACCCTTCCATCATTACAGGTTCTCTCTCTCGAAGAAAATTAATTAGATGGAAAAATTCATGACTTGCCCAATGCATCATCTTCATTGATTGAGGAATTAAATTTTGGCAAAAATTATTTAACAGGACCAATCCCGAAATCTATCCTTCAACTTCCAAGGCTTGAATGGCTTTTTCTTGGAGGCAATAGCTTTAGTTCCATGAAGCTTTCCTCGTTTGTCCAATTGAAGAATTTAAGGGATCTCGACCTATCCGATATAAGCTTGTTAGTTGAAAGCAACAACATCGGTATTAATTTTCCCCAATTAGAGAGCCTATGGGTAAGCTCATGCAACCTCACTGAAGTTCCAGGATTCATCAAAACACAAGATGGTTGAGCTAGATCTTTCTAACAACCACATACATGGTGTTGTGCCTAATTGGTTGTGGAAGAGCACTCTTCAATTGTTACAGCTTTCTTTCAATCCCATTGATTTTTTCAAAACAACTTCCCTTAAGTGATGCAAACTTCTCTTTTCCAATGCTGAGGGAATTATATATGGGATCATACAACATAAGTGCATTTCCAGAGTTCTTAAGGAGTCAAGAAAAATTACAAGTACTCGACCTTTCAAATAACCGAATAAGTGGTGCAATACCAAACTGGGTGTGGAAGAAAAGTTTGTTTGACCTGAATCTTGCTAATAACCATCTCTCATCTTTGGACCAACTTTTACCCAACCAGAGTTTTACTTCTTCGCAGGCCACTTTGCTTCGACCTATTTGTGATATGAGTCAACTATCCACTTTCGATGCATCTCATAACAATTTGAGTGGCCCCATTCCAAATTGCTTGGGCAATATGAGGGCCCTCCGATATTTGGATCTTCATGAAAATAACTTTAGTGGAACCTTACCAGATTTTGCAAAATCACCCGATTTAGGGTTACTCAAAGTTAGCGATAATAGACTGGAAGGGAAGTTGCCAAGATCATTGGCGGAATGCACTCAGCTTGGAGTCTTGGATGTGGGAAACAACATGCTGCGTGATACATTCCCTTTTTGGTTGAAGAAATTGCCTATGTTGACTGTTCTAGTATTGCGGGAAAACAGATTTTATGGTCAAATTAAACATTTCAAAAATAAAATTGTTTTCCCGACTTTGGATGTGCTGGACATTGCTTCTAACGAGTTTTCTGGTGAACTACCCGTTGATTTCTTTCCAGCCAGTCAGCTAAGGTCTCTCAAAATCGGCGGGAATAAATTTGAAGGGAAGCTGCCAAGATCATTAGCCACTTGCTCAAAACTTGAAGTTATGGACCTCAGAAACAATATGGTTCATGATACATTCCCGATCTGGTTGATGAAGTTGCCTTCCTTGAAGGTTCTCATTCTCAGAGAAAACAGATTTTATGGTACAATTGAAGACTCTGAAACCGGACATGACTTTCAAAACCTGCACATACTGGACATTGCTTCCAACAATTTTTCTGGTGACTTTTCCATTGAATTTTTGCAATGTTTGAAGGCAATGATGCAGATGAGTAATGGCAACAAAGCTGAGTTGGAGTACATTGGAGGGGATTACAACGGAGGGGAGTATTATGAAGATTCTGTGACTATTGTCAACAAAGGGATTGAAATATTTTACCAGAAAGTTTTGACCATTTTTACTTGTCTGGACATTTCCAACAATTGTTTCCATGGCAGAATATCCGAACAAATACAAATTCTCAGGTCACTCAAAGTGCTAAACTTGTCCCATAATAGTTTCTCTGGAGAAATCCCATCAGCACTGGACAACCTAAAAGACCTTGAGTCTTTGGATCTCTCAATGAACAACCTGTCAGGTAAGATTCCTCCACAGCTTACAGGTCTAACTTTCCTGGCAGCATTGAACTTGTCTTACAACCAACTTGAAGGGAGCATACCACAAAGCAACCAGTTCAATACATTTTCAAATAATTCTTTTATTGGGAATCCAAAATTATGCGGGCCGCCATTGTCAAGGAAATGCAATGAAGTTGGTCTTCCCATGTCACCTCCTCCAAGGGAAGAAGAAGAAGATTCATGGTTAGATGCAATGTCTACTTGGCAAATTGCTTTGACAAGCTACGGTAGTGGTTTGGTCGCTGGGATATGTATTGGATTTACAGTGCTGAATGAGTTGGGAAACAAATGGGTTTACAAGTTCCAAAAGTATGGGAACAGAAGCAAACGAAAATTCATATTTGAAAATCAGCCGTAAGCATTTCCTTTTGAAACTGAAGTTTTTCTAATCGGAGATAGTTGTTACAAACTATGATAAACACACTTTTAATTTTCTTACCTCGTTCTTTTTCAATCATGACAGTTAAGAGATACTTGAAACTGTCCAAGCTCAACTGAAGATCGATTGTTAACCTTATCTTTAAAGACTTTCGTTATCTATTCCGTGGAAAAGGAAGAGCAGACTGCAAGATTTTGCTCAAGCTCAAGTGCATTTCCAGAGTTCTTAAGTAGTCAAAAAAGTTTCAAATTTCTCGACCTTTCAAATAACGGTGTAACACCAAGAAGCGTGTAACATGGCATTGAAAAACAGAAAAAGGCTTCATCCTACGAGAACACCTACTGCAATAGAAGATTATTTTCATAGGGTAATGGTCGGACAAAAGTCAATAAAAGTATGCAAGGACATAAAGCAAAGTGTGAAACATGGACATATTAAAGCAAAGATTATGAATACAAAATTCATGCACTTGGAATAAACTATGGTAAAGATTTCCTAGTATTCAAAAGTCAACAAAAATTTGCCAATACATAAAGCAATTACAATGAGATTAAGTAATACATGCTTTTGCAGATTAAGAAATTATGGAGGGAAGAACTATAACAATCAGAATTTGTCTATATATACTATGTTGTATTTGAAACAATTCACCTTCACAGCCATAGCCACCAAACATGAAAACTCTTCGTTTCCTAGTTTCACTCTTCTTCTTGTTTTCATGCTTCCTTTCTCTTGTGTTTTCCTTGGATGATCTCTCAAAGCATTGCCTTGATGACCAGAGATCTTCTCTGTTGCAACTGCAACATGATCTTTATTATGCCCCGAATTTTGCTTTCTCTTCCAAATTTGAGCTGTGGGATGTCAACACCGATTGTTGCTCCTGGGAAGGAGTTACCTGTGATGCTGTTGGTCATGTCATTGGGGTTGATCTTAGTTACGAAAACCTTTCAGGCAGCTTTCATTCCATTTTTTATTCCCGTCATCTTCAACACCTTAACCTTGCTGGAAACAACTTTAACACCACTCTGCTTTCCTATGGATTTGATAAACTCCAAAATCTAACTCATCTCAACCTTTCAAGCTCATGTTTCCACGGCCAAATCCCGTGCAGATCTCATTCTTAACAAGGTTAGTTTCCGTTGATCTATCTAATCAAAAAGTCTGTTATCGGAGGAATGATGTTTATTATTATGATGATTCATCTACTCTGAAACTAGAGAAACAAAACTTGAAAACATTGATCAAGAATTTGAGGCATCTCACCGAGCTTTATTTGGATGGAGTGGACATTTCGTTTCAAAGCGGTGAATGGTGTGAAACCACTTCCTTAGTACATTCCAACCTGCAAGTGTTGAGTCTGTCAAACTGTGGCTTAAAAGGTCCATTATGTTCTTCGCTTTCAAGACTTTCTTTTCTTTCCAACCTGTCCTTGACGATAACCCAATCTCTTCTTTACCTTCTAGTTTCTTGGAAATTTCGTCTCGTTTGATTTCTCTCAGTTTAGTGAATTGCAATTTGAGTGGACATTTTCCAACTGAAATTTTCTTGTTGCCAAAAATTCAAAGAATCGACCTTTCATTTAATAAGCAACTTATGGGTCAATTGCCAGAATTTTCATCAAACAATGTTTTACGGAGTCTGACGCTTTCTTTCACAAATTTCAGTGGAAGACTGCCTGAATCAATCGGTAACCTTAAGTTCTTGACCGAATGAATTCTTGGCGAATCCAATTTTTCTGGATCCATTCCATCGTCAATTGGAGTTCCAAAACTTGCATATGAACAAACTTTCTGGATTAATAAATTCTTCTTTGTTTACTCTTCCATCATTGCGGGTCTTGTCTGTAGGAGAAAATCAATTGGTTGGAAAATTTGAGGAGTTCCTCAATGCATCATCTTCATTGATTGAGGGATTATATTTAGGCAACAATTATTTAACAGGACCAATCCCAAATTCAATCCTTCAACTTCCCAGGCTTGAATGGCTTTCTATCGAGGGCAATAACTTTAGTTCCTTGAAACTTCCCTTGTTTGTTCAACTCAAGAATTGTGTTGAGACTCTGTTACAATTGTGAACAAAGGAATTGAACTGTTCTATGAGAAAGTCTTGACCACTCTTACTTGTCTTGACATTTCCAACAATAGTTTCCATGGGAGAATACCAGAAGAAATTCAAATTCTCAGATCACTCAAAGTGCTAAACTTGTCCCATAATAGCTTCTCAGGCGAAATCCCATCAACACTTGAAAACCTAAAGACCTCGAGTCTTCGGATCTCTCACTCAACAAGCTCTCAGGGAAGATTCCTCCACAGCTTACAGGTCTAACTTTCCTGGCAGCATTGAACTTGTCTTACAACCAATTGAAGGGAGCATACCACAAATCAACCAATTCATTACATTTTCAAATTATTCTTACATTGGGAATCCAAAATTATGTGGGCCACCATTGTCAAGGAAATGCAATGAAGTTGGTCCTCTAATGTCACCACCTCCAGGGGAAGAAGAAGAAGAAGAAGATTCATGGTTAAATGCAATGTCTACCTGGCAAATTGTTTCGGTAGTGGTTTGGTCGCTGGGATATGTATTGGATTTACGGTGCTGAATGAGTTGGGAAACAAATGGGTTCAAAATCTATGAGAAAAGAAGCGAAAGATCTAGGTGAGCATTTCATTTAGAAACAATGATCTTTCTAATTTGAAAAGATAGTTACAAACTATGATATGTACAGATTCAATCTTCTTACCTCGTTTTTTTTTCAATTTTGACAGTTAGTTAGGTGAATCAAATTGTCTTTGTTTAATAATTTCAACACCTTCTATTATTTTATTTTTATTTTTTCTATTGCCCAGCCAATCTAATTTAGTCCTCTGTTATTAACTTATAAAATCAACCCCTACAAATCTCATGTTGAAAAATTTAAAACTTAGATAACAATGATAACAACGAATATAAAAAAATAACAAAATAAAGAATATTAAAATTTAATGTAAAAAACTATTTTGGGGAACTATGAAAAAAAGAGAAAAAATCCACTATGTTGAAAAAGAAAAAGAGTACAAGAAGGTTTGCATCTAAACGCAATTTAGGACTTACTTCCAAACATTAAACTCTAGTATCAAATATCAAATAAGAGATATAATTCTTACATCAAATTTCAATCGATTAAAATTCTTACCAAACCCGACCCGTTACATTCCATGGATAATTCCGACCATTGGAAAATGATGGACCCAAAGCAGTCAACAAAAAACACTACTTTAATCAACAAATAAATGACCTGAAGTGTGAACAAAAGAAGGATAACAGTGAAATAGAAAATGGCCTGAACATTGATTTGAGCATATTTGGCGTTGACCTGACAAAGTCACGGGGAAATTCTATCCTCAATTTCCATTCCTTGCGAAGCAACTTCACAAACATTTAATTTAGGAAATATATTAGAACTTACAAAGAAATTATTTTTTAATTTCCAAAATATTACCTATAAATAATCCTACTCGAGCAAAACATTCATCACCTCACTCATTACTCTCTTTTAAGCCACTTGAAGAAAGCAACATGGAAACTCTTCCATTTTCTGCCGTTATTCTCATTGTTCTCTTCATTGCTGCAGGTGATTTTCTCTTTTAACAACTACTATGCATTGATTATCTTCTTCTTCTTTTTTAATAGTATGCGATAATTACAAAGTAATATTTATTCAGATTTCTTAGATATTGATAACGCATACATGCACTGTAGACTCAGCTGCTCGAACTCAAAACCTATAGGGAGAATAACACTCCCTTTAATTACTAAAATCGTTTAATGAGTTCATGTATTGATTATCTTTTTAACATTTTATGTTTTGATTTATAATATAATTAGATTTTTATGTTTAATTTTCGCTGCTGTGAATTATGGATTTATTTATTGTATTCATTTCTTATAGATTTATTTTTTTGTGTATATATTTTTTTTATTTTTGTATAGGGAATGAGTCAAAGATGGCAGATGCAATAGGAAGCTGTGATGTGTTGGGGCATGGCGGAGGGTGCGAAATAAACGAATGCTTCAATGGATGCAGGGCCAAGTTTGGACAAGATGCTCATGGCTTTTGCTTCACCATCAATACTTCCGACGACACTTGCATTTGTCGTCACCCTTGTTAATCAATAATCATACTTAATTTCCATTAGTTTTTATTTCTATGTCAGTGCATGTTTTTGTTACCCTATATTTATTGAATAAAGTTAGAAATCCCTAGGGTTTCTTGGTGACCTTGCTTAAGGTTTGGGCCCTGGATTGCTAAATTGATTTGGGTTGTTCTGCTGTTGGGCTTGGTTAAATGTGGATTGCTTAATGAGTTTAAGGGCATATAAATTTTGGGGTTTAATTTGTAATTGTACTTTAATGGAATTTAAATTATTTATTGATATATATTAATATTTAATATTTGAGTCTGAAATAAAAATGGGCTTGAAAGTTATACCTGGATAAAATTGGTTAATACAATATATTTAATTTTATGTTCAATAAATGGATGTCCCTTTTTTTCCCATATGCATGGGGTAAGGGGGAGGTAAGATAGTAGGCTACCCCCAACACTAGGTTGAGAGCAGCTTCCGTAAGAGACCTCCGAATTATGAAATGCCCTCCGTGGGACTCGATCCCACGACCTCAAGGTTAAGAACCTTGTGCTCTACCAACTGAGCTGGATGGTCATTTTTTTTTTTTTGAGAATAACTTTTCAAATCTCACAACATTTATATACGAGTTTTTAAAATGTTTAAATATAATATTTTAAAATATACATTTATTAAGCGATTAAACATAAGGATAAGACATGCACACTACAGCCACTTGGTTTGTTTTCGTAGAAATATATTTCTTCAAAATGCACCGTAAATTTATTTTTTAGATAAAATTTATATAATATACTTTTTTCATATTTTTTACCATTATTTTTTTCGCTTCTTACGTAAAAACAATTTTGTTATGCGTGACCTAAAAGGATACCAAACCAAGAAGATAATATTTAGGTAAAAAATCCTAGAAAATCATAAGGAAATTCCAACCTCAATTTCCTTTCCTTGTGAAGTAACTTCACAAAGAACTATTTTGGGAAAGAGATTAAAGACTTACAAAGAAATTATTATATATTTTGTAATTTCCAGAAGTATTGCCTATAAATAGTCCTTCACAAGCAAAACATTCCTCATCTCACTCATTACTTTCTCTAAAGCCACTTGGTAAAAAGAAACATGAAAACCCTTTCATTTTCTGCCGTTTTCCTCTTTGTTCTCTTCTTTGCTGCAGGTGTGTGTTGATTATCTTTTAAATATGCTATATTTTGACTTCGAATATAATTAAAAAATTATATTTATTTTATTTTATTTTGAAATAAGGTTGTCTTCGATGTATTTATTTTACGTGTATATTTTATTTATTTATAGGGAATGAGTCAAAGATGGAAAATGCAATAGGAAGCTGTGATGTGTTTGGGCATGGTGGAGGGTGTGACATAAACGAATGCTTCAATGGATGCAGGACCAAGTTTGGTGAAGATGCCCATGGCTTTTGCTTCACTGTCAATACTCCCGACGACACTTGCATCTGCCGTCACCCTTGTTAATCAATAATTATAATCGAATCACATTCCTCAAATTATGATCTTTCTTCTAAATCGGTTCTTAAACTTTTGAATGTTTTAATTTTATCTTCAAATTATGACTCTCATTTGTAATTAGTTCTTCAATTTTTGAACATTTCAATTTCATCCTCAGACTATAACCCATGTTCTAAATTTATCCCCAAATTTTTATACGTTTTAGTTTTATCTCAAACTATTGATATACACTAATCACATTCCCTATTAATAAACATGTTAGATCATTCTATATTATTATATGTTTGGAAAAAAATAAAATGTAGGTTAAAATACAATTGAAACTAAATACATATTTGGATGAATTTGAGAATGAAATTAGTAGATTGAAAGTTTGGGGACTAAATTAGAATGAGAGTTATAACTTAGGGATGGAATTGGAATATTCAAACGTCCGGGAACTAATTTAGAATAAGATTCATAATATAAGGATAAAATTAAAATATTTAAGAAGTTGAGGATTAATTTAAAATTAGACTCATAGTTTAAGAAGTGTGATGCAATTAATTCATAATTATTCTTAATTTTCATTAGTTTTTGTTTCTAGTTCATGTAGTCCATCTAATGTTCAATAGTAGAAAGAATCAAATATTTGGAGGAACAAATTGTTTAAATTTAAAAAAAAAAATATCAATCAAAATTTGAAACCCTAATGTTTTCCGATACCGGTCGGCATCTGAAAGCGGCACAATGGGCAAGTATGGTTGGATTTCAGCCACTGCACGATACAATCTCCATGGAAGAGATGAGAAGATGGCATGCAAGTGACGTTCTCCGTTTTAGACGACACCAATTTCTCCATGCAAATCATGCATTCAGCACCATCGCCTTCAAAAAGTTTCACTTTCTTCAAAACCTCGATTGATTCTTTCGTCGCGGGCACTGGCTTCGGTTCTTCCCGCATCGATAACTCCGTCACCGTTGCCGCTAACTCACCCTCCTCGTATTCCCTTGTCAGGATCTTTTTAACTCGGAAAATTATCCTCAGCACGTTGTGAAATTCATTGTTATCTCGACTCCTCATCTCTTCTTCTAAAATCAAGTTGGCATCGGAGAAAGCTTGATCCAATATCATTATAAGGCTGCCTCGATCGAGCCATCCAGCTTGGAGTAAACGACGAGCAACGAGGCTGCGGTGTCGATTGGAACCGACCAAAAATTCGGGTAAGATAATGAACTCGTCCGCGTTATCCTCATGCCGAGCACACCATCGAAGACGGCCATTGTCATCCTCAAGAAACGAACGAATCTCAAGAATAAATTCGATCAGGGAAAAGTTAGCAACATTGTTTGGATTCCGACAGTGATCTACCGTCACTTCAAAACGCGGTTCGCTACTTGCCATTGATAAACACTGGTACTCTCTTCAAAAACAAAACGCTATAAAGGTTTGCTCGGGTGAAGCACATCAGAATTGAGATATATATATATATATATTTAGTACATGTATACTCTGTTTTATATTAGGATTTGGACTCAAAATTTAAGAAGAATTCTATATTTTATTTTTAAACAAGGAATACATACTTATCATTTTATTCTGTTTTTTTAGTTTCTTTTCTTTTTGGATTAGGTAATTTTAATAATAAAATTCATATTATTATTTAAATTTAATTATATAATATAATTACTTCTTATATATTTAAACATAATTATAATACTACTTTTTTTAATTGTATATAATAATATCTTTTTTATTTTTAATTAGATATTTATTTTATCTAATAAAAATAATATATATGTATATATTTTGTATCGGATACAGTCGAGTCAAGTCAAATTTTATCTAAAAATCAAATCAAAATTTAAATACACGACTCACTTGAATGATTTGAGTGAAATTGTGTCTCGTGAGCAATCATGCGGGGTGGGGAGTGCAAATCCAAGCTTGTTGAACTCAGCAAATTATAAGGTATATTATACTTATAACAGACATTCCCCTGCAAACTGCATTTATGACTTCGTCAATCCCAACTGAGTTGTCCCGGCGTCCTCCGACCTCTTGCTCTGAATCGAAATTGGAACATTTTCTGACAAGATCCTGATCTCCATTTTCATCCAACGTCACTAAAGATCCCCAGGTCTCAGCAATACGTTTAAAGGTTATATAGTTCCAGCAAGGCAGCAATGTAGTGGAACTCCAATCACTTCCAACTATGTTGTTATTTCCAGAATTCGACCAGTAGCATACCTCCAAGAAAATTTCTATCAACAACGACCAATTTTGATCCTCCGTTAGCTTTTTTAGTTCTTTGTCTTTTATGTCAATTACAAATATAAACATAATCTTCACATGTTAATAACAAGTACAAAATGAATTTTAAAATAAAATAATTGTATACTTGTCGCGACCGTCTTTCGGTTGGGCCCCGGAATTAGGCTTCAACTTGAATTAAACGAATTGGAGTCGCCACCGACCACTTTAAAACGAACTTAGGTGGGTCGGACACCATCTTACCTGATCTGCGTTGTACCAGAAACGTGTCGGGTTCGGGAGTCGGTTACGATCAAGGAAGGATTAGCACCCTTGAACCGCCCTTTCGGTACCAATTAATTTATCGATTGTCTTTAATTGCGAAAATTGGAATTTAAATTAAAATTTAAATTATTCGATTCGAATCACTTACCCTTTGATCGATTGAAATTACGACTGAAACAAAATATGTTAGATAAAAAAAACAAAAAATAAACACGAAAACAAAATGTTAATATGATAATAAAAGATATGGAAGAAAAATATTTTAAAAATACAAAAAAAATAATAACAAAAGGTTAAGTTAAAAATATATATTTAAAAGTAAAAAAAAAACTTAGGACCAAATTGGAACAAATTGAGCTTAGTGGATTAGAAGATGAACTGCAAAAAAACAAATAAAAAGTTAGGGGACCAATTCACAAAATATAAAAAATATAAGCAGGAACCAAATTGATTAAATTACAAATATGGAGGCAAATTTACAGATGGTGACCAAATTGAATTGCGACTCAAACGTTCAAGGACTGCGGAAAGGATTTAAAAATCCTTTATTTGCATTATGGTCCCTCATATATAAATGCCCAAATGAGCCACGTTACACTTCATTTCTCTCATTTTCTCATAAGCATCATCTCTCTCAAACGAGACACTCTCCACCCAGGCGATTCCCGACAACCGTTAGACGCCGACGCCGGCCACCGCCGGCGGTGGCCGAGAAAACAAAAATACCCCAAAGCTTCCTCTCAACCTCTCCAACAAAAAACCGAAGCCCAAACACCCAAATAATGCCCTCACCGACGTAGATCTAGGAAACAAACTTCGGTTTTTTTACCTTTTTTCGACGACTTTACCGCTTTTGATAACTCTTGCTTTTTCGTTTTGCTTTGGCTTTTGGGCTTGCTCTTGTTGTATACTGCTTTGCACTTTGTGATATTTGCGGGGCTTCGGCCTTTGGTTATGCTTTGCTTCGTGGTTCGGCTCGATGATATTGTTTACTGTGGTTTTGTATGTATTTGGTATTGTCTCGTTCTTTGCTGTTGGTCGATGATTCTTTTGTCTTTGTGATGGTTGTTTCACTGTTGGTTTCTGTGATTCCTTTCGACCCCGTGGGTCTCGATTTTGGGTACCTCTGATGATACTTCCTCCCCTTGGCAGTGTTTGTGGTGGGGTATTTATACCCCACCGTTGCTCCTCAGTTCCGATCTTCGCGGTAACCACCCCATCGTTGGCTGGGGGTTTCGGGATGGGTCAGTCCCGATTCCCTTGGCCGGATATCTCGGCCGTTTGTGACGTTCCTTGACTGGCTCCCTGTTTCCCTCCTACGCGGCGCTGGTTCCACACGTGGAAACCCTAACTATTTTTTGGGCTAGTTCAGGCCCGACTGTTGGACCCATTGGACTCTGTAAAAAAAACAAAAATAAAGATAAAATTAATAATAAATAAATAAATAATAATAATAATGTAATAAAAAAATTCCAGAAATCTATATAATATATATTTAAAAAAAATATTTTAAAATTATATATTATATATATTTCTTAAAAATGTTTTTAAAGCTATATAGTTTTTTTAAAAAAATATGTTTAAAACTATATATTATAAGTTTTAAAATGATTTCAAAACTATATAATATATATATGTTTTTCAAAATGTTTTTTTAAAAACTATATATATTTTCAAAATGGTTAAAAACTATATAATATATATATATATTCAAAAATGTTTTAAAAACTATATATTATATTTATTTTCAAAATGTTTTTAAAATTATATAATATATAAATATTTTCAAACATGTTTTCAAAACTATATATTATATATATGTTTAAAAAATGTTTTTAAAACCATATACATATATATCTATCTATATATATATGTATATATATAAATGGGACGAAAATGAGTCTCTACAGCTGCCCCTCTTTGTCCTTTTTCGTGGAACGAAAAATAGGACAAAGATAAAAAGACACGAATTTTCGTTCGGTGGAGTTGAATAATAACTCCCTGTCGAATTGAGTTGCGGATGGCCCATTCGTCGCGAAGTGGAGTCTATCTTGAAATGATATGGAATTGAAGCTGTAGTTCGGAATTTGAATCAGAATGTGGCTTCTTATTGTCATTCGGTCTTCTTCTCGGTTTAAAGACCTTGGTTAAAAATTCGACTGGAAAGTAGTCCCTTGACTCCACCATGTGGCTGATAGGTCTTCGAGCTTAATGAAATCGAACTCGAAAGGTCCTCGTCGACATATGGCTTTTCTTGACTTAAGTTATGCTGCCGGGAAGCGATTTTTTGTCACTGAGGCACTGTCTTCTTCTCGACTTGAAGAACCTCGATTACAACCGAACAGTAGTGTGATTGGGGTGTCATCGAGCTGAATGGAATCGAACTCGACAAATTTATTGACAAATAGCCCTTATTGCCTTGAGCTATGCTGTAAATGATGTGCCTTGGAGCTGAGCGTAGTCGAACTCGAAGGTCTTTGGTGACAGATAA